AATTTTCCTGAAAATTAAATATCTTTATAGGTTTATTTCCTCCTTGTACGATTCATTCTCATCGCTCGGCACATTCCTTTTGTAAGAAATAAGTACACGCAAGATACATGAAAACTGATAGTTTCTATTATCCGCATTTTTCAATTATCCATGATCTGCTTAGAGAGTACGCTGTATGGTACATTTTGCAGAGTGGAAACACAAGTGTTTTACATCACTGTGTTATTTGATTAGATTTGAAGTATAAATATCTTACGCTTAGCAGAGATGGCAGCACCAAAGCCTTTAAATCGCGGAGTTTCTACGTGTGTTGAAAACTTGGTGAGGTGCCATCGTCTTTTTACAATGCAAGGAACATACATACACGCATATATACGGATTTTTCATTATTTAGTAATAGATATTTCGTTTTCCAAAATTAATTTTTAATTAAACTACTAAAACTTTGCCAAAGCTTATTCAGTACATGATAGATTAATACAATTATTTTATAGTTTCACCTTTAAGCAGTTTAACCAAATGTGTATGATAGTAATACATGGTAGGGAATGAATAGCCTTAAAATACAATTGTGCACAGCTTTCAAATGTTTAAACAAACGTAGAAAGCTTCAGCAACATAGTTCCAATAGGAAGTTGCGAGAAAAGGTTATCTGGAATAATAGAACGCAGTATATAAGGTTCTTGCTTCTAATCGTTAAAATACCAGATGCGACACAAATTTAATAAATAATTCATATCTTCTAGCGGCATTGCATGTATTATGAGTTTGGATAGCCCCTCATGATTGCGTTCGTCGAAAGATAAAAATGCAAATCAGTTTCAGACCGGCATATCTCTGAGAGTTCACCTGCAGAAAAAAATTCAAAATGATCTGCTTTTACGTAAGAAAAGGAACGATCTCGTTTGCTGACTCTGAATTTCCTAAGAAGAGCACTAGATTATGACATCATGGCTCACGTTTGAACTAAGCTTCAAGTAAAGCTTCAAGTCACGCATCCTCGCTAATGAACCATTAGACCTACTGCAGTGGCTTTCTGTTCTGTTCGTCTTTAGAATGATATCAGAGATATGAACAGAGTCAGCATGTAGCGCAGAAATCAATATCTACGTTGCTACCACTGTATGAAACACCGACATTCTTTAGAATACCAAAGCATTTTATAAAATGTCTGGCGTTTTTCAGGCAGGGTATGAAATGTGAGATTATTATGTACTTTCCCTAGGCATTGTATATTACACCAGCCTACAGAATGACAAATGTTATTTAGGCAAAGTATGAAAAAAGATCATGATAAGGTTATTATTTAAAAGACGTGCATTCCCGAAAAATAGAAACGTTATTTATTTAGAAAAAATAATGATAGAGACTACTAAAAAACTTTTATTCAAAATAAGTAAAGAAAAATTAAAGTTATACAACACAAAATTTATGCTTTCTCTTTAAAGAAAGCAATGTATGAAATGTGTGGAATGAATGTATTAAAATTATGGATTATATATGAGCATATTAAATGCGTGGATTTTGTATGAATGTTTTAAATATATAGATATTCGAAACGAATCGAAGATGTATTTCATACTTTGCTGGTTTGTCACTAGGAAATGTATGACATGTTAATCGTTTCATACATTTCCGGCCACTTTTTTGTGTTCTATAAAATTTATTCTATAGAATTATTCTGACCCAAACATGTGTGCCTTGAAGCTTGAATTTTAATCTCGAATTTAGATAAGATTAATTTTATATTTAGCACCAAGTTAACGAACTTATGATTAACAAACTAGGTAAATTGTAAGCGAGAAGTGGCAACACTAGAAATAAAGTACTTTAATTTTCTCGCCATAGTGTGTGCACATGCCATCGTAGCCCAAGATATTGAACTTTCAGATTTAATATGTGAGGTTACTGAATAACAAACTAAGCGATTTGAGAGAGATAAACGCAATCGTTAAGATTTTTTTTTTTTTTTTTTACTTTTTAATATCATTTATTTAAATAAAAATGCATTAAAATAAAACCTAATCAGAAATATTAAACATTTTTATGAAAGGAAACTATTTGAAAGGGAATTATTATGAAAGGAAACTATTACGAAAGGATTCACTGAAATCACTACATATTTTTTCTTTGTTATGATAACTATTTTAAGAATATAAAATATATAGTGTATATAAAAAATAGTAAACCCCTAGCATTCTATCGGGAAATTAAAGATATGCCGCTTTTAAATATTTTATGATTTTGCTGTTGAGTTTTATGCGGCGTAAGTGCGAAGAACATAATATTTAATAAATAAAGGGGAAAAAAGGTTAGTAATAAAAAGAAAAAAAAAAGAAAGTTCCTTGTAAGAAAATTGAACACTAATAAAATAAACTAAAAAAAGACAGCAAAAAAAATTTATGCCAACATTATTAACTCTGCATCCGGAATTCTAAACATATATTGCTATTCTGCTTTTAAAAATCTTATGATTTTGTTGCTGAATTGTTAGCGGCATAAGTGCGAAGAAAGCGATGCTTAATAATAAACGTAAAAAAGGGGGTGGGAAGGGTGTTAGCGGGATTAAGTTCAGTAAGCCAGATTGGTAACTCAAAATTATATATTTTTATTCCTAAGTGTTGAATCGTTTCTTGAATGGAAAATTTCGCCATATTTTCCTCTTTAGCATTTAAATTTATGTAACACTTTGCAAAAGCCTAAAATTACATTATATTCATATTAAATTAAATTATATTAAATTAAATTATTATATTAAAATTCTTTAGAAGATTAAATTTATGCTGTTATAAAATTTTAATTCCTGAAATAAATGTTTTTAATTGCGACATATGAACTTGATAAGAGAAACGGTTTGTTAATTTTTATGAAGTTTAACAATTGTTTAAAATGTTTTTACTTTTATTTAAATATATTTTGAAATCAAAACAATGTTAAAATCTTTTATTTGAAAAAAACTAAACTTAGAAAGTTTTTATTCTCCTCTTCACGTCATAGATGATATCAAATTTAAGTTAGAAAAACTCCGTTAAAATGCTATGACAATTTATTCCTTTTATGTTAAACATCGTTTTCTTTGCCCTTACAGTTCAACAGCAAATCCACACAAATTTATAGCAGCATATGTTTAGAATTCCAGATGTAGAGTTTAGTCTTGTCACACATTTTCCTACTCCCCCCTTTTTTTAAGTCTTTTTAGCTTGTAAAGTTTTTTTATTTTTTTTATTACTAAGATTTTGTATATTAAATTTATTTATTTAATATCACGCTCTTCACACTTACTCTACATAAAATTCAATTCAATGGCAAAATCCCAAAATATTTAAAAACAGCATATCTTTAGAATTTCCGATAGAATGCCTGGCGCTGGGGATAGAAATATTTGATTCCGTACAGTGTTGCCACTACTCGCTTTCAAATCGTCGAATTAATTAATCAAAAATTCATTAAAGGTTTACAAAATATGAAATACATAATAAAATATACAATATCATTTTAGGAAAATATTGAATAATTTTAATTAGACTGATCACGAAATAAATGTATTTTTAATATTTCAATTAAACTGATTCAAAAGCAAGCAGCGAATATTTTTAAGGACTGCATCTGATACTCTCAAATAGTTCAGTTTCTTATTCTACAACAGACAGATTCAAAATAAAAGGTACATATTCTCACATTTTGTAACGACGCTTTTATCGTGATTCGACGCAAAATCCCATTTCGACACTAATAGCCCCTTTGAACAAATAAACAATTCAAAAGTCGGAGGATTATGGTTAAAATCTAGTGGCTCTAAGTGGCGCCGTTTTCACAGAATGTGAGGAACATACATGCATATATACAGGTTCTTTACCACTTTACAATAAATTTATCAATTTTTTTAAAGTGTATTATATTTAAAACAAGCCAAATTGTCACACAAGGTCAAAATATTACCTGCTTTCGTGGGAGTGTTTTCGTAATGGGCTTACATAAAAGATTAATCTCAGTAAGTTAAATTTATAAATAATTAATTTTTATCTGACCCCTCTGCTCTTCAACTGGTCTACAGATAACAAATTTGAAAAGCAAAATTATAAATCTCTTCTTAGATTTAAACTTTTAAGATTTGTTTACTTCTGTCAAAGAGAGATTTAAGAGGGGAAAAACTCCTGCTATTGACCTATGTTTTAATTTTTGCAGAACACAATTTTACCTAAAGGCAAATAGCTAACATTTCAGAAAACAATCATACATGCGTCAAATTTATAAATGAATGATAATTTGTATTATAACATTCATAATTTAAAGTAGCATGATTTACTTGCTTGTACAAACTTCACTCTATTTACCTATGCCTTGCTATATGCAGAATATAAAATTACATAAACCAAAATAGCACATTAAGTATTATTTTTATAGAAAATTATTTTATAAAAATTTCGCTTTTCGTATTCGGTTATACAAATTTGTTTTAAATTATCTCTGCGAAATGTATTTATTTATTAACAGTTTTCTTTATTTTACATAAAAAGTATTTTAATATTTTAAGATAATAATATGCAACAAAAAATAAATTTTATCATTTTTCTAAAATATCACTTTGAGTTTCCTTGGGAAATGCATCTCAATTTAAGAAATTAAAACAAAATTTCTTGACAATTTTTTTATTATTCTTATATCCTATATCATAAGAATTACACAAGAAGTTTTACAAATATTATAAGATTCAGATTTCGTTCGAAAATCACTTTTTAACAAATTTTAAAGTAATTTTAATAATAAGATAAGAAAATTCGAAGACTAATTAACATAAGCATTATAATTTTAAACTATTATTTCTTTATTTTCAGAAATTATAGGTAGTAGAGAAAACATTGTAAGTGCATTGAACTTAGGTTCGCTATTTTTTTTTTATCAGGAATCTAGAATAAACCAGAAATTATATATTTCGGTTTATTCTAGATTTATATATTTTTACCAGAAATTATATATTTCGGAATAAAATCAAATATTATTTAGCCTAAAGCCTGGCCAATGAAACTGGCAGTATTTGCAAGATCACTGTAGTTTACTTCATCTATAACTGCATATCTTAACAGATGTGTTACAGCAGATAAAGTTTCTAAAAGAACTTGAGAGACAATTTCGCAGTCGGATAAATTCGCGGCCGAAGCTCTCACCTGATTTGCTAGGTAGGAAATAACTGAGGGCAAAGCATTCGGATTAAATGATCTCCCTGAAACCATAAAAGAGGCAGCTGAAGAAATTCTAGAAGATGGGTCGATAGAAGAAGGCGCAGAAACTGCAGAAGACCCTACATCTGATGCGGGCGATACACTACCACCACCAAGTCCGGTAGTAGAGCTAGTCGCTGCAGAACTGATTGCCAAGTTTCCAATACCGGCGGTAGACACTGCAGATGGGTTGGCATTAACTTGTTCAATGAGTCCTGATTCCGAAATTGCTGCACCAGCTGCACCGGATACAGGTGGACTGGCAGTTATAAGGCCGGGACGACTAAGACGAGAATTAACAGCAGACCTTAACCCGGATGCTCCTCCTCTTCGAATAAGGTTAGGCTGCTGTGTGCTAAGAGTGCTCGATGTCACCGAATTCACTAAATTAGCAATTGGTTGTATATCCGTAGATACTAGAGATGCAGTTAGGATAGGTGATATGTTTCGTACATTTGCTAGTGTATTTCCGATAGCAAGCGACACAGCATTAGCATATGCTGACGCATCAGCAGAAGAACCAATTGCTGAAATATATTGGCTAAGTAAGGAAAGAAGAGATTTTATTCCTACTTCGTCTAAGCCTATCTGAGTTGCAAGTGACTGAGCTAGGTTACTGGCCAAATTTAGTGCCGTCGTTACAGGTAGTCCGCTTCCAAAAATAGAAGTGAATTCATTGGAAGATAAGAGACTAGAAGAAATAGTGTTGGCAAATTTCGATATAACGTTAATATCAGTAGTGGCGGTAGATATTCCAGCTTCTTGTCCAACTCCGGCAGCAGCAGTAGTAGCACCTTGTCCACGAAATCTCATAAGCGAAGGTTGAAATCTTTTTCCAACTAAGCTTTGTACGGAGGCCAGATTTCCACGGTTTCCTTGATTTTGTGTTAAAGGTACATTGCTGAAAGCTGATGCTCCTCCACTTCGAATAAGGTTAGGCTGTTGTATGTTAAGAGTGGTCGATGTCACCGAATTCACTAAATTAGCGATTGGTTGTATATCCGTAGATGCTAGAGATGCAGTTAGGGTAGGTGATATGTTTCCTGCATTTGCTAGTGTATTTCCGATAGCAAGCGACACAGCATTAGCATATGCTGACGCATCAGCAGAAGAACCAATTGCTGAAATATATTGCCTGAGTAAGGAAAGAAGGGATTTTATTCCTGCTTCGTCTAAGCCTATCTGAGTTGCAAGTGACTGAGCTAGGTTACTGGCCAAATTTAGTGCGGTCGTTACAGGTAGTCCGCTTCCAAAAATAGAAGTGAAATCATTGGAAGATAAGAGACTAGAAGAAATAGTGTTGGTAAATTTCGATATAACTTCAATATTAGGAGCGGTGCTAGACGTTCCAGCGCCTTGTTCACTTCCAGCAGCAGATCTTGCAGCAGCAGTAATACTTTGCCCCAGGAAATCTCGAAAGCGAAGGTTGAAGTCTTGTCCCAACTGAACTCTGTACGGAATCCACATTTCCACGGTTTCCTTGAACTTGTGTTAAAGGTACATTCCTAAAATTTGATGCTTCTTCACTTCGAATAATGTTAGGCTGCTGTGCTCGATGCTGTGTTAGAGTGCTCGATGTCACCGATCTGACTAAATTAGCAATTGGCTGTGTATCCGCAGATGCTAGAGATGCAGTTAGGGCAGGGGATACGTTTCTTGCATTTTCTAATGTATTTCCAATAGCAAGCGATAGAGCATTAGCATATGCTGACGCATCAGCAGAAGAATCAATTGCTGAAATATATTGGCTAAGTAAAGAAAGAAGGGAATTTATTGCTGCTTCGTCTAAGCCTATCTGTATTCCAAGTGACTGAGCTAGGTTACTGGCTAAATTTAGTGCGGTTGTTACAGGTAGTCCGCTTCCAAAAACAGAAGTGAAATCATTTGAAGCTAAGAGACCAGAAGAAATAGTGTTGGTAAATTTTGATATAACGTCGATATCAGTGGCGGTGCTAGATGTTCCAGATCCTTGTACAACGCCTTCAGCAGCGGTTGCAGCAGCACCTTGTCCACTCTGTACAGAGCCTAGATTTCCACGGTTTTCTAGAACTTGTTTTAAAGGTACATTCCTGAAATTTGAAGCTCCTCTACTTCGAATAATGTTAGGATGCTGTGTGTTAAGAGTGCTCGATGTCACCAAACTGACTAAATTAGCAATTGGTTGTGGATCCGCAGATGCTATAGATGCAGTTAGGGCAGGTGATACGTTACCTGCATTTGCTAGTGTATTTCCAATAGCAAGCGACACAGCATTAGCATATGTTGACGCATCAGCAGTAGAACCAATTGATAAAATATATTGCCTAAGTAAAGAAAGAAGGGAATTTATTCCTGCTTCGTCTAAGCCTATCTGAGTTGCAAGTGACTGAGCTAGATTACTGGCTAAATTTAGCGCAGTTGTTACTGGAAGACCGCTTCCAAAAATAGAAGAGAAATCATTGGAAGCTAAGAGACCAGAAGAAATAGTGTTCGTAAATTTTGATATAACGTCAATATTAGTAGCGGTGGCAGATGTTCTAACTCCTTGTCCAACTTCGTCAGCAGCGCTTGCAGCAGCATCAGAACCTTGTCCTGGAAGTCTCGTAAGCAAAGGTTCAAGTCGTGTAGCAACTGAGCTCTGTACGGCACCCACATTTCCACGGTTTAATTGAACTTGCGTTAAAGGTACATTCCTGAAAGTTGACGCTACTCCGCTTCGAATAATGTTAGGCTTCTGTGCGTTAATTGTGCTTGATGTCACCGAACTGATTAAATTAGCAATTTGTTGTGTATCCGCAGATGCTAAAGATGCAGTTAGGACAGGTGATACGTTTCCTGCGTTTGCTAGTGTATTTCCAATAGCAAGCGATACAGCATTAGCATATGCTGACGCATCAGCAGAAGGATCAATTGCTGAAATATATTGGCTAAGTAAAGAAAGAAGGGAATTTATTCCTGCTTCGTCTAAGCCTATCTGACTTGCAAGTGATTGAGCTAGGTTACTGGCTAAATTTAGCGCGATTGTTACAGGTAGTCCGCTTACAAACGTAGAAGTGAAATCATTGGAAGATAGGAGACTGGAAGTAATAGTGTTGGTAAATTGCGATATAACGTCAATATCACCAGTCGTGCTAGGTATTTCAGCTGCCTGTCCACCACCACCGCTTGCAGCAGCATTAGCACCGTGTCCAGGAAATCTCGAAAGTGAAGGTTGAATTCTTGTTCCAACTGCACTCTGCACGGAAGGAAAATTTTGGCGGTTTTCTTGAACTTGTTTTGCAGCTAAATTCTTGAAATTTGATCCTCCTATCCTTGGAACAAGATTTGGTTGCTGTGCGTTAACAGTGGCTGATGTCACCGAACTGATTAAATTAGCAATTGGTTTTGTATCTGCAGATGCTAGAGATGTGGTTAAGATGGGCGATACGTTTCCTGTATTTTCTATTGTATCTCCAATAGCACGCGATATAGCATTAGCATATGCCGACACATCAGCCGAAGGACCAAGTCCTGAAATATACTGGCTAACTAAAGAAAGTAGGGAATTTATTGTTGTGTCATCTAAGCCGAACTGAGTTGCAAATGATCGAGCTAGGTTACTGGCTAAATTGACAGCGTTTGTTACAGGTAGCCCGCTTCTAAATGTAGAAGTAAAATCATTGGAAGACAGGAGACTGGAAGTGATAGTGTTTGTAAATTTCGATATTACGTCAATGTCCCTAGAGCTGGAAATTATTTCTCTGTCGTTTCCATAGGAAGGAATACTGCTATCTCTTCTTGCGTTGTACACACGATCTTTATAACTATTTCTGTATCCCTGTCTTATATTATTAGCAGCTGCACCATCTGAAGATGCTTCTGGAAATCCTTTAGCTTTTGCGTATCCCGTACTTTCTCTACCTCCTTGTCCAAATTCTGTTGCTTTATTATCGCGGATAATGTCGACAGGATACCCACTTTCTTGGAATCCTTGATCGTCTCTTCCAGCATCTCCTGGTGCACGATCTCTGGCCATTGGATAAGCCTGTCTGTTGCCACCTTGTTTATAATAATCTGAATAACTTGGAGCGTTTGCAGAAGCTACTGCAGTTGAATCGTGTCCAAATCCCAGATCACCTGTACTGCCAAATGTGTTAAGTCCTACATTTTGTGAAAATGCTTCAGCATTCGCTGGACGGTATGAGACATCACTGAAGCCTTGACTAGTAACTGCAGCGACTTCAGTAGGTTGACTAGCACCATACCGTTGGAAAGGTCTTTCTGCTCCTGATGCTCTGGCGTTATATCTGTCATTAGGTTTTGTATCTGGCCTGTAGCCCTGGCTGGAGGTGCTTGAAGAAGGATCATAACCAGGCGCATTAGCTGTACCGTCGAAGGCATTTTGCGTTTCTTCACTTCTGGATGATACATCTGAGCCTTCATTTAGACGATCTGCTGCAATCATATTTATGAGTTGATTTATTTCTTTCAGGGAAACCTCATCTACGCCTCCTGAATTTTTTAGCATAGAATCCCGTAATCCATCTGTTATTGCTCTTATTATGTCAGATAACGGGAAGCTAGGATTTTCGGAAAGGACTAATTCAGCTACACTCGAGGCGAGAGCCATATTCAGAGCTCGTGTTTTTGAGCTGGAGATGTTATTCGAAAAGCCCGATCTTCCAAAAGCATCCAGGATAGTTTGACTAATAGAAGATATATCATCTATTTGTTCTGAAGAAAATATCCCAGATTTCAGTAAGTATTCAGTAAAGGATCCTAGAATATTTTCAGCTAGCTCTGGATTAGACCAAATAGGCTGGACAGAGCCATAAGCGATGAAACCCTGAGTGCAGAAAACGAGAAGTAGGGTTGTTATTCGAATGGTACACCCCATATTCGATTATTACAGACGTCCTAGAAAACATGTCAGGCAATCCTGAGCATATCTTTTATACATCCGAAATCGTGCTTCTATGTTAACGAATACGATAAATCTTCAGCTAATTCAACATCACCGTCAAATATTTTTGTAGAACTTTCTTTACGTTAATAAGTCACATCTCAGAGGCGATTCAGTTTGCACCTGTTTCCTTGAAATCTCGAGTCACGCACATTCTTCGCACGTGTCGGCTAAAGCTTTACGGTAGATTCAACAGTTTATAGCGAGTATATTTGAATTTTAATTTCGTTTTTGATTTAATATGTTCCATATACATAAGCAGTTCGAAAAAAAAATATCACAGGCGTTTAGCTACGTAAATGCTTCATTGATGCCGTTTCTTTCAATAATCATTAGGAAAATCTAAAAATGCCCCATAAAAAGCTATTGGCATTCCATACAAAAATCACTCGCAGGTAATTCTTGGGATTAGATTCATTCACAGTTTCTTTAATGCAAGAGTTCATTTAAGAGCTGTTCATGACATTTCTGAAAATATTCGACCGATGCTTAATCTTTGATCTTAATACTGGAGGGCATCCTTCGTTGAAAGAAAACATACCTATGTAAAATTAAAAATTAGGCAAAAAATGCAGACTTAGTTGATATTTACATGGATTTTTTTCCCCCGAATCAAGGAAAAAGAGAAAACATTCTACAATTTTTTTAAAATTTTAAACGGTTGGTTAATTTAAAATTTATGTCAAGCTGTTTGGTAACTTAATCTCTTACTTGGCAACATTTAAAGTATATTATTCACTTGGCAATTTTTAAAGACTTTTGACCTTATTTGGCGACTTTACTTATAGACTTTACTTACTTTAGCGTGGATACAAAATTTGACTTCAATATCTTGTAAGGATTATGTTAATTTATCCAGCAGTAAAACTTTGAGTTAAAGTCCTTTTCTATTGCTTCTTAATTTCAAGCTTACAACTTCCGGCCAGAACGTATTTTTAGAATCGCGTTTAAATGCAAATTGAGGAGAAGTATTTAAACGCGAAGTTCTGCTGTGAACCAGTGATTCTGGCTAGCATGCGTCCGCTTTTTAGGCTACTCTCTCTTAAGCTATTATTACGCTCGGCCATACACTCGCTCGGCCATACGCTCGGCCCTTGACAGCTTTGCCGTTATTCAGCTAAGGGGCCAACTCTGTTAGAATTTTGATAGCTTCAGCTATATCGTTTTAGTTAAGATTAGATTAGTTTCTTAAGTTCAAGCCCGAGTGTTGGCTTTATTGTAAAACTCCAAGTTCTGTTAAACTTTATTAGAATAATAAAGGTAAGATTCTTCAAATTCAACTGTAACTTAAAAATACACAGCACAGAATCTTACATGCTTACCAGGAGAAAATAGTGCAAAAATCGATGACAAACATTTCATTACAGCGAAAAATATAAAGCTCACTCACGGTCCAAAGCCACTCATGGGCTCAATAAAATACCCCTTCAAATTAATTTATTTTATTGATATTTTCAAGCTGAAACTTGAAAATATATATAAAAAAAATCTGAAAGGTTTCAGATTTTAAATTACGCCCAAAGGGACTTTTTTTGACCTTTTGTGTGTTACCTTTATTTATTAAATGTTCTTTGCATTTAAACCATAAAATTCAATTCAACAGCAATATCACAAAATAATTTTAAAATGAGCAAATCTTTAGAATTTCGGATGCACAGTCTCGCGTACTAGAGATAAAGTGGTTTTTTTTTTTTTTTTTTTTTTTTTTTTTTTTTCGTACAGTTTTGCCATTGCTCTCTTTGAAATCGTTGAGTTTGTTAATCAAAAATTCGTTGAAGTGTTATAAAATATGAAATAGATAATAAAACAAATTCCAAATTAGGGCTTTCAGATACCCATATTCGTTGGAAGATTACGTTATTCAAAATGATGGCTCTAAGTACCGTTGTTTTATCACAATGCGAGAAACATACATACATTTATAGAGATTCTTCATTATTTAATTTCTTTAAATATAATACAGGGCGATAATATTTGGTGGCAACAGTTTGAAAAGTGAACCGACACATAAAGTTTTCATCGCAAAATGCCAAAACGAAATTAATAGCCTTTCTGGGATAACGCTCTTTGGGATAATAAATTAATCTGAACTAATTAATTTGAAGTATTACCATACAAATGTTCTTAAAATGTAAATCATAAAAATGTTGTTGATTGATATAATTCGGAACGTGATGTTCCGGATTATATCAATCAAGAAGATAATAAAGACGAAACACGATTAGATCTCTTTAATTATTGTTAGTTTTATCGAGAAAGACTAATAACCTTTGAGAAATCAGCCATTTTCCATGCAATCAGCAAACGTTTTTAATTAAAATTTTTTTCTACTGTTTTTTTACTGTATCTAACTTCTAAATTTGAAATAGGTTTTAACTGCAATAGTTTTAACTCTTCATTTTCCGAAGAGATGATCTCTCTATTAATATATATATATACACCGCGGTGATTGAAGTTTTTGGTCGCACTTTATTTTCGAATTGTTGGCGGAAGACATACACTTCCAGTTACAAAAATACTTTAAATGATGCAAAGATTCATATTTTCGTACTTTAAAATTAAAAAATTTTTGAATAAAATACAGATTCTAATTTGCATGTTCCCTTGGTCTTTAAACTGATATTTTGGAAACTTTTGTTCTCGTTATGAAAAGTTAAACAGAAAAAGTTTGACTCCTGTACGACAAAAATTGAGGAGAATTTCTGACATCATTCTGAATTTGCACCGAGGTGTCGGTTAGAAAATAAATTAAAAAGAAAAATCTTAAAACTTTCAAATTTTATATTACGTTCGAAGAGGTATTTTTTTAATGTTTTATGTGTTACCTTAATTTATTATATATTATGTTCTTCGCACTTAAACCATGAAATTCAATTTAAAATCAATATCATGAAATATTAAAAAAGAGCTTATCTTTAGAATTTCCAGCCTCGCGCGCTGGAGATAAAAATATTTTTGTTCGCACAGTGTTGCCATTGCTCGGTTTGAAATCGTTTAGTTTCTTAATCAAAAATACATTAAAGGTGTACAAAATATGAAATAGATAATAAAACAAATTCCAAATTTGGGCTTCCGGATGCCCATATTCGAGTACAGGATTACGTTATTCAAAATTTGATGTCTGTACATACCGTTTGTATTTCACAATGCGAGAAACATACATACATTCATGATTTAATTCCTTTAAATATAATGCGGGACTCTAATATTTGTTGGCAAACATTTGAAAAGTTAAACGCCGTTTAAAATATCTTGGGTTACTGTTCGACCAAATATTCAACTTCATAGAACATCTCCAGGATATAAAGATTCGCACCCACACAAATTAGACAGAACCTCCGCAGGATGCAAGGATTTAACTGGGGATTGACTCCTCGCATCACCAAGATCCTATACATAACCATCATCACAAAAATCGTCACATATGGAGCTGCGATATGGGCCCTGCCGATGACGGAAAGAAAAAAGAGATTGCTAACATCCATACAGCGACGGTTCATACTAACCATCACTCGTGGCTTTCGTACCACCTCCAGCTCAGACCTTAATTTCTCGGCAGGTATTATATCGCTACATCTTCAAGCAATTGATGAGGCTATTTACTCTTCAGTCTTTCAACTCAGAAAGGGCATCAGCTTCAAGGACTGCATATACTCTGCAGATGATTACGAACAGCTCCCTCCTCTATACAGAAGACATTCAGCTGATCCCCATTCCAAAATAAAAATCCAAAAGAACATTGACCCAAGAAACAAAGGATTTGAGGCTTACAATGATGGATCAAAAATCGAAGGAAAAGACAGATGTGCAGAATTCTTTCCATTGCAACATCTGGACTCTGAAATAAAATGGAAAGGGTACTTAAACAACTCCAATAGCATACATCAAGCGAAACTAAAAGCTGCCATCAAAATTGCGTCAATAAACAATTTCTCCAAAATATCTATTAACTCAGACAGCCAAGCAGCCATACTTTCCATCCGAAATCCAGACAACCGTTCTTACGTGGCCCATGAAATTAATCAAATTCTAAAAATCTCAATACAGAAATAACCATAACTTGGATCAAAGAGCGTAGCGGCGATGATGGCAACGATACCGCTGACAATCTGGCTAAAACAGCAGTTCTTTTCCAGAAAAGCAAGTTCCTCAACATCACATTTCCGAAACCGCAACTATGACAAATCCTAAACAAACATCTAAGCCACGAGTGGCAAGAAGAGTGGAATAATGCTACAACAGGCTAATGCGCTCACCTGTTCTTCCCAAAAATCGGCACAGAAATCAAAAGCTCCAAGCCCTTCCTAACTTATTACCTCACCGGTCACGGGCCATATATCCAGATTATTTTCTCAAAAGAAACCTCTCCAATGGCGACAATTGCGTCTGGGGAGGGGGGTCAAAGGAGATGCAAACCATTACTATTCTTCTGCCCACTTACAAGTGATCTACACATTCGGAAATCCACCAATCTAGATCTTAAATGTAAAAGGATTGGTGATATTTCAACGCCACCTATATCCAAAAATCATGAAAGTACACCAAAAGTTCAGTGCTCTAAGAGTAGACCTATGCAAAGTCACACCTTAGGACCGAGAATGAAAAAACGGAAAGAGCAATGTCTATGTTACACCTCAATAATTGACTCCACGCAACGTTAATAATTTTCATAATGTTCCAAAACACCGAACCTACTGAGCTGAGACTATGAACTTTATGTATGAAGTTTGGACTGAAAGATCTGAGCTCAGTTCACTTTTACCTGTAACAAATATACTTACATAACAAGAATCAGGCTCCTAATATATTAGCAAAATCAAATCCCTTGTTTATCCTTCTTACATAAAAATGCAAAATTTTCAGTGCAATGATCTCCAAAATATCAACTTTACCATAGTTACGTAATCCAATATTTTAATGAATATACTAAACATTTTGTGTTATTTATGCAACTTTGTATTTAATTT